GGGAGGAGGAGGAGGAGGAGGAGGAGGAGGAGGAGGAGGAGGAGGAGGAGGAGGAGGAGGAGGAGGAGGAGGAGGAGAGGAGGGGGAGGAGGAGGGGAGGGGGAGGGGGAGGAGGAGGAGGAGGAGGAGGAGGAGGAGGAGGAGGAGGAGGAGGAGGAGGAGGAGGAGGAGGAGGAGGAGGAGGAGGAGGAGGAGGAGGAGGGGAGGAGGAGGAGGAGGAGGAGGAGGAGGAGGAGGAGGGGGGAAGCGAGAGGGAGAAGGCCTCCTCAGAAGGCCTCGCGGGGACTTCTCGGAGGCCCTCCCGCCTTCCCGAGAAGTGCCTGGCGTCCTGCGGGGGAAGGCTCGGAGCTCTTTCCGGAAGGCCGGAGGACTTCCGAGTCTTCTGACTTCGGTCACGCGAAACAGTTGGGCGATACACAAGAGTCCTAAAGGTGGGCCAGTTCAGGAGCTCTTTTGCGACCCCCAATGGGGCGTTCGCGGCCCCTCAATGGAGACCTCCGGGGCCCGAGAAGGGCACCTCCCTCGCCCCCCATGCATCGCCCCCCCAGTAATTCGCGCGCATCGAGCCTTCTGAGAAGCCCCGCCCCTTCTCGCTTCCCCCCCCCGCGCTCGCCGCCACCCCCTGCTCCCGTGCTTCGTCTGGCGTGCCCCTCCTCGCCCCCCCCCCCCGCCGTGGCCCGCCCCGAGAGGGCTCCCGCAGCTCGGGGGGGGCCCGTCGAGACGCCGGCAGCCCTTCCTGGCATGTTTGGCGTCTGTTAGCTCTCCGAGGGGGGGGGGAAGCGAGACGGAGAAGGCCTTCTCGGAAGGCGGCGGGCCTTCTCAGACGCCATCCGGCCTTCTGAGAAGTCTTCTGTGTCTTCGGGGAAGGCTTCGAAAACTTCTCAGAAGGCAGGGGGACTTCCGAGCTTTCTGAGGAGGTCCGCCCCTTCTCACGTTCCCCTTGGGGTCGCCGTCGACGTCGACTATCTCTCCCTCTCTCTCTCTCACACGTTCTAATATGCATCAATCGATCTACTTGCCAAAAAGCCCATGCACTGATGGAGTCCTTACTTCAGTTCTGGGGAACTGGGCCTGGCAGCCAGCCTGCCGGCTATTTAGCCGCCGTTGTCGCCCTGTCACCGTTTCGTCGCCGCCCGTCGTCTGGTGGCTATGTAGTCGCCGTCGCCGCCTCGTCGACGCCCGTACCTAGGCCTGTCTGTCGGTCTGGCGTCTATGTTGTTGCCGTCGCCTTCCCGTCGTTACCTAACTTGCACAACGTAGAGCGCGCTGCAAATATTGCACCACATGGATTGCACCACCGTTGATTGCACGACATAGAGCGCACGACATACATTACTCCAGCAGGTTAGACCACATATTTTGCAGAACATATGTTGCAACATCTGTATTGCACCAGTTAGGTTGCACCACGTCGATTGTCAATTGCACCGCATATATTGCGCACCACAGTGATTGCACCACATATATTGCACAACAGACGCTGCACCACATATGTTGCACCACCAACCTTGCGCAACACATATTGCACATCATAGATTGCTCAAAGTAGATTTGACCACACATATCGCCCAACATTGATGCATCCACAGAAAGTACACCGCATAGATCGCACCACCTATAGTGGGCAGCCTAGATTGCATCACCCTTATTGCTCCACATAGTGGGTCAACCATATCTGGTACTCCTAGATCGCACCACGCATTGCACACGCACATGTTGCAGACATCGTTTTTCAGCGCAGATGGCACAACATATATTGCAACATATATGTCACTGGATGTATTACTTCATACATACTGCACAGCATATGTTGCTAGAAACACACTGTTTGGAGCCCACGTAGACCAACGAATGGATGTATGTTTGTATGCATGCATGCATGTATGGATATACGCATGCCATTGATGTACTCATAGTTGTATGCGTGTAGGTAGGCATGTATACATGTATGCAGGTATATGTATATGTAGGTTAATGCACATACACTAGTCTGCAGTGGCGTTTCGCGTCATGCACCTTGGTCTTCAATGTTCGTCATGCAGGCGGAAGGGCAGGAAGGTAAAACTCCAGGTTCAGCGATAATGCCGTTCTAATAATGAGATTCGTTCTTCCTCAGGTTTCCCCTTCCCTGCGAATTTGTCCCCATCCTCCTTGGCTCTTTTTGCGGAAGCTCCTCCTTGGAGAGCCTCTTGGGCCTTCAGGAGGCCTTCTGGGTTTCTTCTGGGGGCCTCTGGGGGCTTCCCCGGGATACCCTGCTTCCTATCGCGGTATCCCTGAACATCGGGGTCACGATTTGGACTGCTTCGGGTGGGCGTCTCGGGGCCATCTTGGGCCGTCATAGGGCTCCCCTCGGGCCATCTTGGGGCCCTGTTGGGCCGTCTTGGGGCTTTCTTGGACTGCCTAGAAGCCCCTCCGGATAGTTCTGGGGCGATGTTCTGTCCTCCTGGGAGGTCTCGGACGCCCGGCAGACCGAGGAATCGAGCACTCCCAAACTCACACAAAAGCCACTGGAAATTACAGTTTTCTTGTCACCGCGGCTGGTGCCGCCCCGAGAAGCGGGTCTCGGCACGGACCCCGGGGGGTTACGTTGCGTCTTCGGGGGACCTCGCCTGTCCCCAAATCGGCCGCGAGCCCAGGAGGGAAGTGAGAAGGGGCGGGCCTTCTCAGAAGGACGGCTCGGAAGGCCCCTGGCCTTCTGAGAAGTTGTCTAAGCCTCTCCGAAGGCACAACAAAAATCTGAAAGAAGGCGCGAGGGCTTCTGAGAAGTCCCGCCGCCTTCTGAGAAAGCCTTCTCCTTCTCAGTTCCCTCCCTCGCTAGCCGCCGACCAAAATTGGTGTCTTCTCTTCTGCCCGACGCGGGCTCGATACGGACTCGACGCGGACTTGGCGTGGATTCGGCGCGGATCCGACGCGGATTCGGCACGGATCCGACGAGTCCGCGACATGGATTCGGCACCGACTCGACGCGGATAGGGCCGAGAGGGGGCAGACGAGGTGCCCCGAGGATGCAGCAACACAAAGGAGGGGGGGGGGGGGACTGTGACCGAGCTCCTGGCCAGGTTGGGGCTGGGCGGGCGGGAGAGCCGCCGCTGCCTCGGGCCTCAACGGGCCCTCCTCGGATTAGGCACGCGCATCGGGGCAAGCCCCTGTCTTTCATCCTTCCTCCTCGTCCCCCCTCTCTTCAACGTTGCGCAGGCTCGCTGCAACAGCATGCCTCCGCCCTCCTTCATTCCTTTTCCTTCTACATGACTCCCCCCTGTCCCACCCTGAGGCCAGTTTTTAGGGCGGGCCGGGCGTTTCGCCGGAGACTTCCTCACCATGTATGACTCTGCAGCTTAAGAGTGACAAAAGTTTCAGAGATGGAGGGCGGACCGTTTTCAACATGTGACTCTCGCCTAAGCGCCGCGCACATTCAGTTTTTAAACACGCAAGAGTTTCGCATATTGAGGGCGGGCCGTTTTCAAGATGTGGCTCTCGCTTTAGCGCCGCGCACATTCGTTTGATACAGTGCAAACGTTTCACGGATTGAGGACCGTTTCTATTCAAATTGTGGTTCTCGCTTCAGCGCCTTGCATACTTTTCAGCATTTGCAAGAGCTTCACGGATTGAGGGCGGTTCCTTTTCAAAATGTGGCTCTCGCCTAAGCGCCGAGCACATTCGTTTTAAAGATGTACAGGGGTTTCACGGTTGAGGGCGATTTCTTTTCAAAATGTGGTTCTCGCCTTAGCGTTGCGCACATCCGTGAAACAACTGCACAAGAGTTTGCGGATTCCCATGATCAGCGTACAAGAAACGGTGTTTTGGAAGGATTCAGGACTATGCGGGTACAACATTTATGTTGATTCGCGGTGTTGAAATCCCACAAATGGCTGTCTGGCTCGATTCTGGATCGTCAAGACGCAGCAGTCAGGTTGACCCGTGGCGTTACAGTCCAGAGAATAATGTTTTGGCATGTTTCAGGATCTTCGAACGGTTGTCTTTCAGCGAGGCAGCTTCCTCGATGTAAATGGGCCCTTGTAGGGGCGTATGAAGAGGAGGGATTTTGGAGGGAGGGTTAATTCCAACATCATTGATGACTCTTGGGTTTACACTGGTCCTCCTCCTCCCTTCTCCTCCTCCTCCTCCTCCTCCTCCTCCTCCTCCTCCTTTTCCTCCTTCTCCTCCCCCTCCTCTTCCTCCTCCTCCTCCTCCCTTCTCCTCCTCCTCCTTCTCCTTCTCCTCTTCCTCCTCCTCCTCCCTCCCTCCCTCCCTCACCCTCCTTCCTTCCTCCTCTCCTCACCGCACGCGGACTCAGAGTGCTCTGGGACACTCCCGGAGCGTTCCGGAGCGCGCTGGAAGGGCCGCGGCGCCCGACACATCCTCCACAATATCCAGCTCTCAGAGATCCCAGATTTATCCCAATCCAATTTTGTCCCCATCACGGGGGGACAAAGTCAGGAGCGAAACAAGGACGTACATGTACATGAATCCACGCTGGTTTCGAGAGCACGCATTGCACAAATGTTCGTATAACGCGGCGGGTCTCGCGAATCGAGGGGCCGTGTTCATGTACATAGCTGGGCGCGTACGTCCTTTGTGGGCTCCCTACAAAGGTTCTGATACCACTGCGCCCCAGACCTGACCAGGGGTGTTCCTGCCCTGAATTTCGAGGCGAATGCAGCCGTGGCAACGAGGGAAGGGTAGCAGGTGGCAGCAGTATCCGTATCCCCGGACACGCGACGCCCTTACTGAATATGTTTCGCTGAGCGCCCCCCAGAAGTCCCAACCCAATCCTTTCCCAGGGACCGGCTTTTAATTTTCGTCCTAAGCCGTTTTGGGGGGGACCCAAGGCCCTGTGAGGGCCTCCAGCCGAAAACGGAGAAACAAACATCCCTTCTTGTTGATTTCACGACGTGAGGATTCCTGAATCTCCACCTTCCACACTTTCCCACCAGCAGGTGGGTGGCTGCTTCAGTGATCTTCTCGAGGGACAAAGAGAAGGCAGAGACATGAACTTCTGGAGCTCCGCTTGGATCTGTTGGATCTGGGTTGGACCCCCTCCCTGGCGCGCAGAGCGTGCCATGGTGGTCCAGCGCCGATCCGAGAAACGCACACGGAGCTCTCGAAGTGTAGGTCTCTGCAGTTTTTCGCCTTGAAGCAGCCACCTTCTTGTCAGAAAGTATGGAAGATAGAGAGTCAAGGAAGAGGGACAACAAGTGCAGGGACATCAGCTTCCGGAGCTCCGCGTGGATTTCTCGGGCTCGGCGCCGGACCCCATGGCGGCGCCTGCGGCGCCGCATGCCTGGGTCTTCTCCCCTTCTGAGCCCCTGGCTTCGTCTTACAGTCGGGGCCCTGAAGAAGGAACCCTTTTCGTTGGGAAGGGGCTCCGTGTTCCTTGATAGTTTCACGGCTTGCCTCAGGTTTCCCCAAGGTTTTCGATGGGGAATCGAAGTTTAACTTATGGAAAAGGAGGGGCCTCGTTCCTTATTTAGGGTTCCTTAGGTCAACGCCCCGACTGTACCCGATCGGCGGATTGTGGGGCGCGTGGCGAAGCGCGAGGGGCGCAAGCTGTGGATCCGCGCCGAGCTTCGCGCGGTGGACGCGGAGGCGCCGGGTGGCGCGGGCGGCGCCCTGTACGCGGAGCTCTGATGCGATCGACATGCGTATGAGGAGGAGGAGGAGGAGGAGGAGGAGGAAGAGGAGGAGGCACCCATACCCTTAGCATTCCCTCGAGATTCGCCCCGAGATTCGGGTCAGAGCGCACCCGCGGGAGGGGTCCGGGGGAGTAGCGGCATCAGTACCATCTGGTTTCCCCCAAGAATTGGTGCGCCAGCCATCGGCTCAGTGGGTGTCTTGAGGTAGGTTCCAGGGCGCGAAGTGGCGCTCAACTGGGCTGGGCCCTCTCACATCACTGATACTGCATTCGTTGGTTTTCGGAGGAAAGGTGGTTTGATCTCAGGGCAGTTGTGTTTCATCTTGAGAGAAGGAAAAGGCCTTCGCAGAAGGCGGTGGGGCTTCTCAGAAGCCCTCCGGCCTTTCTGAGAAGTTGTCTGCCCAAACCCCCGACGTCATGATCTGTTACACTGTTCATTACGTCGACCCCCAGAGTTCTCGACCCATCCCCTGGGGCAGGTTTCTCATCCTGAGTCATTTTTTGACCGTCCCGCGGCCCAGCGAGGGCTCCCGGAGGCCGAACGAAACGACAAACCTTCCGTCGTGGTTTTTCGGGGGTGGACAGACCTCCTACCCTGACACGTCGATTAAGGAATTGGCCGTTTTCGGTTCGCGAGAGGGCGTCGCGGCCGTCATTTTTGCGGGTCCAGGTCCGTCGGTTTCGGTCCCAGGCCGTTTTCACCAAGGGGAGGTTTGCTACAGGGAGGTCTGTCCACCGCCGAGTTCTGTCATGGCCCGAGGGGGTCTGGGGTGTGTCTGTGGGGGAAGCCTCAGACATGTCAGAGGAAGGCCGGGGGGCTCCTCAGAGCCTTCCGGGACGGCCCGCCCCTCCGGACGGCCCCCCGACGGCCCGCCGCCGACGAGGACCGACAGCAGTGCCAGGCCCCTTTTGGCAGCGGGGGCCCGCAGCGGGCGGCGCTGCGGGCTTTGCCCATAGGGAAGACAGCGACCCAGACATCCGGCTGCCCCAGTTTTTTCGACCCCTCCTCCTCCCCCTCCTCCTCCTTGTCCTCCTCCTCCTCCTCCTCCTCGGGCTCGGGCTGCCGGCGTCGGTGTGTCGGCCGAACGCAGCCGCCCCGCCCCCCCGGAGGGGGGCGAGCTCGCCCCAGGGTGGGCGCGAGCAAGCTTAGGCTTGGGTCGGGCGTGGGGGGGGACCCCGCCACGCGCAGAGGGGGGTGGGGGGAGGGGGGAGGGTTTCTTAAAGGCACCCCTGCTTCTCAGAAGGCGCGGGCCTTATCTATAGATGTAAGGCCGGCGCCTTCTAAGAAGCAGCCTGCTTCTAAGAAGTCCTCCCCCCTCCCCCCACCCCCTTGTGCGCGCCGCCAATGGACCCCGGAGGTCTGGACCACTTCTCCAGGGCCGGTTTTTCGTCCCGAGTCGTTTTTTGTCGCGCCCGAGGCCATGCGAGGGCCCCCGGGGGCCGAAGACGGCCCCAAAGCCGCTGCTCCAGTTTTTTGGTAGGAGCGTCGGCTCTCTGGGAAAGGCCGCCTGCCCAGCAGCGGCCGCGGTGGGTTCTGGTCAGCGTCTGTTGTGGGGCGTCGTGCCCCTCATTTCCGTACCCGCTTCCGGCGTCCAGAGGAGCTGGACGGGCTGTCCATCGCGGGCGTCAAGCTCAAGTCCCGAGGAAGAGACCGCGGCAGGAGCATGACTCCTCGGAGGTCCGCGAGGGTTGTTTTGGATCTGCGCGGTGCCCCCCCACGGCGGCGGCGCGACAGGGAGGGGGGCCCATCTCAGGTCCAAGAAGACCGCGCGGGGGTCATGCGGATGCGGCTGTTTCTTCCTCTCGAGCCCGAGTCGGAGGATCCAGAGCTGCGCAACCGGCGGTGGACGACGCGCGACGGCATGTTATGCGCGTGACCATCGCTCCTTCTCCTCCTGCTCATCATCCCCTCTCCTGCTTCTCCTCCCCCTCCTTCCCGATCCTCCCCCTCTCCCTCCGCCCTGTCCCTCCTTCCCCTTCCACGGTCCCCCTCTCCCCTCGCACACTTTCCTTCCCCCTCACTATTTTCCGCCGTCTCCCCCCTCTCTCCCCCAAGCCTCGGTATCTTTGAACCAGTCCACATCCCATCCCCATCACCTTCGAGACCCCCACCAAATCACCATCCCAGTTGGGGATACACGCCTCAAAACCCGAAGGGAACGACCTATATCCCCATCTAGGGGGGTACATCGGCCAGTTGGGCCCAGGCCACGCCGCTGGGGATGGGGATCAGTTAAACGATACTCACAGCCTCTCCCCAACCCATATCCCCCTCCCTCTTCCTCATCGTCAGTGATCTCGGAGGCCTGGAGGTTGGCACCACCACCGATACCGGCGGTGTGCCTTCACCGAGGGAAGTTGATCCCGATCCTGATGGTGGTGATGGTAATCTTCGGGCTTCCTAGGTGGCAGAAGATTATCATTCAGTCGGGTCTGTCCCTCTACAGGAGGACTATTCAACAATACATAATCTAGGGACCAATGTTTGATCATTGTTTGAATATGTTTGAGCATTTTTTTTTCGTCCAAACTCCCTTTGCAGGGGGACATGCCCGACCTCAGATTCCCACCAGCGCCACAATCTAGGCTCATCCTTCTCAGGTGGACGCACCCCCATGTTTTGGTGTTGGTGCCCGCTTCCAAGCCTCCAGTTACTCTTGTTGTTGAATCGCTTCGTTCATTCCGGCGGTCCGTATTGTGCCATCGTTGGTGTTTGCCTGCTCGTTCGTGGCTTTTTGGGGCCACTTGGGAGCCGTTTTGGGGCCTCTTGGAGCCCTCGTGGGAGCCGTTTTGGGGCGGGGCTTCTTTTGGGGCCTCTTGGGGGCCTCGTGGGGCCTCGACGGGGCCTCCTGGGCTCTCTGGGGAGCCCCTTGGGGCGGAAGGCTCGAACTTGTGGTTCGTATTCCTCCTCCTGGGCCCCTCTTGGGGCCGTCTTGGGGCCCTCTTGGGCGATCTTGGGGCTCTTCTGCGGGCCTGTCGGGTTGTCATGGGGCGGTCTCGGGGGGCCTCTGGGGCCACCTTGGAGCGTCGAACGCCAGAAAACCAGAGAACGCGGAAAACATTGAAAAACACAAGCGAGCAAGCAAGCATGACCAAGCATCTGGAAGGACGCGTGAGAAAAAGACAAGAATACATCATTAGTGCCTCTCTTTGGGTGCCCTTGGTCCTCTTGGCGCGCTCTTGGGGCTTCTTTTGGGGCCTTTTGGGGCCGTCTTGGGGCCATCTTGGGTGTCTTGGAGCGCTCTTGGGCCGTGATTCCGATTCGTTGGCCCTTTTGGAGTTGCCTGGAGGGTCATGGTGTCGCACTTGGGGCGATCCGGAGGGCCCCGACAACCGCCCTCGGGAGTTCAGCATCCTTGAGCGGACCGTGGCAGGAGCTACTCCAGATTTCATAATAAAGGGAGGGGGGTCTCATTTCGGGGGGGGTCTCTTCCAGGCTATCTTGGAGGGCCTGGGGGGGTCTGGGGACGATGTTTTGGAGGGTTCTCCCACAGGGGGGGGGTCTGAAATGGCCTGTCTTGGAGGGTCCAGACCCCCTCCCTTTTATTACGAAATCTGGAGTAGCCAGGAGTCGGCCGGGGTATTTTCTAGTCTGGGGACCCCCCGGGGCCGCCCCGCGCGCGCGACCTCGATTATGCACATACTCTGTGAACCAGTTACTGGAGCTCTTAGCACGCCTCTGGCCCGTTTGGTCGGGGAGTGATGTTCTCCCTCATCCTTCTCCGCCAGCTCGGCCCCTGCCTGCTGCCAATATTCCTCCCTGCTCGTTCTCTCCCTCTCCTGCTGGTGGTGCTGCTGCTGCTCTCGTCGCCGTCGTCCTCGTTCGCCTGGCATTGGGCCCTCGCGGGTTGTCGTGTCTGAGCTCTCGGAAAAAAAAGAAGCGGGCAACAAGCTTGCACAGCAGTAGGACTGAACCAACAGACGTTTGTGTGTATGTATGTATGCATGCATGCATGCATGCATGCATGCATGTATGTATGTATGTATGTATGTATGCATACATTTACAACGTGCAATTATACACGATGTACGTCTGTGTACGACATTCAATGGCCTTGGGCACATTGCGCCATCGTGCCTGTGTTGTGGGTCTGAGGCCTGTTGGATTTTCGTTGGGATCTCGTTTTGCGGAATGCTTGGGTTTTCGATTCGTGTTCCCTTTTTCCGGGCCGTCTTGTGGCCTTTTGAGCAGTCTTTGGTCGCCTTGTGGCCTCATTGGACCGTCTTGGGGCCTCTTGGGGGCCTCTTCGGCCGTCTTGGGGCGGTTTGAGGGCCTCTTGGGAAGTCTGGGAGCGTCGGAAGCTCGGACACTGGATACGTAACCGATGTGACATCAATTGTGGCCTCTCGGGGCCCTCTTGGGGAGGCTCTTGGGGCGTCTCGAAGGCTTCTTCGGCCGTCTCGGGGCCATCTTGGGTGTCTTGGGAAGCGTTGGGGCCGTCTCCGAGGCCTCTTGCACCCTCTTGGGACCCTCTCAGGGCTGTCTTGGCCCGGTTTGGGGCCTCCCTTTGTTGGGGCACCGTCCCAGAGGCCTACGCGGAACACCTTGAGAGTGCCCGGCCGCGTCCAAGAGCGCCCGGGAATGTCGTGAGTGGGGCCCGTCAGAATTTTACAAACCTTCCAGAATTTCAGTATTCCTCAGAACTGCATTGTATATGTATGTATGTATGTGTATATATGAAACAAATAGATATATTGGTAGGGGTTCCCGGGGCCCCCAAAGCGCACTGATTTGTCTTCGGCCGTTTCGGGCCCTGCGGGGGGCGCCAAAAACCGTCAAAGGGGGCCGCGATACGTCCAAGAGGGCGCCAAGATGACCTACGAACGCTCCGAGAGCGCCAAAATGATCCAAAATTGCTCCACTTTGGCTTGAAGGCAGCCCAAGGGGGCTTCAAGACGGCCAAGATGCCCTCAAAAGGACTCCGACGAGGCACTCAGGAGGCGAAACAAATATGTTTTGATGATTTTCGTCGGTTTTTCGTGTTCTCGCTGTTTCGTGCTTCCGACGGTCCGAGACAGCCCAAGATGCTCCAGAAATCAGCTCAAGATTGCCCAAGAGGCACTCAAAGAGAGCGCCACGACGGCGAAGAGAGTCCCAAGACGGCCCAAGAGTGCCCCAAGAAGGCCCAAGAGGCGCCCAAGATCGCCCAAGAGGGCCCCAAGACGGCCCAAAGAGGGCCCAAGGGAGCGAACACGAACCGACAATCCGAGTCTTCCACTCCAAGAGGCCTCCAGAAGGCCCCAAGAGGCCCCCAACAGCGTCCAAGAGGCCCCCTAGAGGCCCTACGAGGCCCCAAAGGGGCCCCAACAGACGCCCCACGAGCACCCCAAACGGCCCCCAAGCGGCCTTCAAAACTGCCTTTGAGAGGCCCCCGGGAAGCCTTCCACGAATTCAAAACGACCTGCCAAGAAGCCTCGATGCCACAACCCAGGCACGGTGGCGGGATGGGCCGAAGGTCACTATCTGGAACGTGAACCGAGAACCCGAGATCTTCGCCCCAGGAGACCCCCTGAGGGGTTAAGAGGTCCCCAAGAAGCTTGGCGACAGGACACTGGTTGACCGGTCGATGAGAGCGCAGGAGGAGGAATAAGGAAGAGGCAGGAGAGAACAGAGAATGTTGACCTCGTTATTCATGATCGCCTTGTTGTCTCAATGCGGCCAATTCTCGACCAGCTAGAACATGAGCGCGCGCGAAGCGCGCGATGGTTCCAGTATCAATGTATGTACATAAACACATATCTCGATCTATATATTCATGTTTCAGTTAACATAAGTGTATGCGTACGTATGAATGTGTAGTGTGTGTGTATGCAGACACAGATGCATGCATGCATGCATGCATGCAATTATGCATGTATATATGCATGTGTATGTAAGCATATGTGTGTGGATGTAGGTGTGCGAATGTGTATATATGTATGTTTATATGTATGCGTGCATGTATGTGTGTATCTATGTATGTATATATGTATGTACATATGCATGCACGTATGTATGTGCATGTAAATACATATATATATATATATATGTATACATGTATGAATGCATTTATACGTATATGTACGCATGCATGTCTGTATGTAGGCATGCATTGTGGATGAGTGTAGTTTGGTACGTACGCATGTGCGTATGCGTATGCATGCATGCATGCATGCATGCACGGATGCATGTATGTATGTTTGCAGTTCTGTATGTGCGTATGGTGGTATGTATGTAGGTTCGTGTATGTACTACGCACACATACACATGTATATAAATGTATATAAATATATACACACGGTCGCCCCCCCTGTTCTGCGAACGGCGACTGCGAACGGCGAATGATATGATACCAGAGGGGGGGGGGAGTAGGGGGAGAGGAGTAGGCGGAGGAGACGGAGGAGGGTGTTTTTTCATTGTTTCCCCTTCCCCGCCCTCGGAGGCGGAGTTTTTTCCTTTTTCCCATGTGAAAACACATGTTTTTTCTTACACAAATTTGTTATTGTTTTTTTTTCTCCTTCTTTTTCGGGCCCCCCCCTGGGGCGGCAGGGAAACCCCGAGGGGCCGAACGGGAGAGCGAAAAACAGGAAAACATAAACAATATGAAACACACTTTTGATTTCACATGGGAAAAAAGGGAAACAACTCAGCCCCCGAGGGCGGGGAGGAGGACAAAAAGGAAAAACACACCCTCCTCCGTCTCCTCCGCCTAGTCGACTCCTTGACTCAACGTTCCCGCCCGGTTTCTGCCGAATTCCGTTCCTCTTTCTCCCGTTATCTCTCCTCTTTTCTCTTCCCCCTCTCTCTCTCTCTCTCTTGACCCTCTCTCTCTCTATCCCCCTCCCTCTCTTGACTCTCTCTCTCTCTCCTCTCCTCTCCCTTCCACTCTCTCTCCTCCTCCCTCTGTCCGTAGCCATTTTTGGCTCAAGTCCGTAGCGTTTCGCTCAGGACTTGACATTCTGGCGTGGGGGATAATTGCGGCCCCCGACCGCTCTCGCGTCTCCCCAGTGGCCTGCCCAGGCCTGGAGGCGCTGCTGCATACTGTGTACTGTACGCGGGGTTTCCCGCCTGTGGACAACACGATCTCTTTTTCGCAGAAGTTTACGGGCGGCCCATGGCGCCATCTCTCGGTTTTCATGGCGGAGCACCGCCGTCTGGGCATACGCAGAGACGCCAGGCATGGGCCAAGCCATGGTTTTGTAAGCATTGCTGGTCGCACCAGACTGGCGACAGGTGGTGGAATAGAGCGGACCTTGATCACTGTTCGCTCTGCAAGCAGCCCAAGGCGTCAGCATTCGCGGGGATCAAGCAACCTGCGGCTCCCTCGGTGTCGGCGACCAAGGCACAGGCGCAGCCAGACCCTAAGCTCACTTCCGAGCTCAAGCGGCTGCGCGAGGAAGTTGCTCAGCTACGGAAGAAGGATGTCGCTCCCAAGCCCGAGAATGATGCCATGGACGCCGACGCGGGCAAGGACAACGATGCAGAAGCTCGGAAGGAGCTCGGGGACGTCACGGAGAAGCTGCAGAAGGTTGCAGACTTCGTCGGCCCAGAGTTTGATGACTTGCGGGGGAAGTTGCGAGCACGTCAGACCCCCCTTCGGGGTCAGATCACTCGTGGCAAATCCCTGGACACGCGGCTCAAGGAAATGTCCTTTTCAGCACACGAAGTTGGTGAAAACAACGGGAGCGCCAGACAGAGATGGTCGAGGAGCTCAAGCAGGTGGTGGTCGAGGCGCAGCAGGCGGTGGACGATGCCGCCAAGGCGCTACAGGCCACGATCAACGAGATCACGGAGATGGAGGCCGAGAGGTGCCAGTTGGTGGCGGGCGCCCCCAAAGCCCCAGCGAAGTCCGACGGCGGCGCCGACGAGCTCAGGCAGCCCATGGCCAGCAACCTCTCTGTCGAGAAGTGCGGCGAGTTGCTCGAGGGTTTCGGCGGCAACGCGACGCTGGCGCAGAAGCTGTTCGAGTGTCTGTCGGGGGCGAAGGCGGCGGAGGAGCTGCACAGTGCGCAGCAGCGCCGTGCTGCCGAGGAAGCTCGGCAGCGGCAGCAGCTAGAGCAGCAGCAGCAGCAGCATCAGCAGCGCGAGGCTGGTCAGGCTGCGCAGGCGGCTGCTGCGGCGCGAGCTGCGCACTGGCAGAACTGGGGGCAGGCCATCCCGTCCGAGGCTGACTCCCCTGAGGTTCTGCGTGAGTTCCTCCGCTCAGTGGACCAGAAGGTGCCAGATGATGAAAGTGAATTGCGAGAGGGAGCCAAGAGGGCTGGAGCGATGCTGGCGTCGTTCGCGAAGCGGCTCAAGACGGCCTAGTCAGCTCTGGTCGTTGCAGGGTATGTTTTATGTTCTGATCTATTTTATCGGCATCATGGCGCGTATTGCTACAGTCAACGCTACATCTTTCAACCCCCTGGCTGAGATGTTCGAGGCAGATGCTCCTGTGCTGGGCGATGAGAAGCCTATCTTGTGTGTACAGGAACATCGTGTCACAGCAGAGAAGTTGGGGGCGCTTCAAAGCCGCATGGGTGGGGTGGGTTACCATGGAGCGTGGGCCCCAGCCAGGGAGACGGGCCAAGGGCACGGCGCCAGTGGTGGCGTGGCGGTGCTTGCGCCCAAGCGAGTGCGGGTGGCGGCAGGTCCCATGCTTGCTGACACCAAGGGCGTGCTGCTGGACGAGAGGATCGTAGCGGCGACAGTCCACGCGTGGTTCAAGAGTGGCTTCGTGGCGGTTTCGGCGCATCTTCACGCCAACGGGGAACTTGGGGCAGAAGAACATGCCGCGGCTCACAACGTTAGCTCAGTACTTGCTTCGCGTGAAAGCGCTTGGATATGCGTGGATAGTTGCAGCTGGTTATAACATGGATCGTGCTCTGTTGCAGCCGTGGGCGACTTCAA